AGTGATGGTCATTCTGTAGTTTAGTTGTACTTTTGATGTGGTCATGAGAGGAGGCAAGCACAGCGTTTACCTACTCCACCATCTTGACAGGAACTTGTAAGTATTTTGTCATCATATGATAAGGCAAAATACCTGGTATCAGGAAATTTACCCAGTGCCTGCAAAGATCTGCAGGTGTGGCCTTGGCGATGTGGTGGAGGACAGACTTCACCTTTGTTACACTTAGGGATTGAAGTGGACCATTATGTCTTGTATTTTCAAAATGTATTCTATTTTTATTTGAGATTATAGTATGATTATAAATATTTGATAAAGTCAAATATAGCTGACTTTTCTGCAGCCATTTCAACAGATGGAATAATGATCAAAGGATATTATTTCCAATAGAAAATGGAAGTATAATGTTTTTTCCTACCCTTTCTTTGACACCATGACATTCTTTATTAGAAATGCTATTTCTTTAGATTTAATTTCCACCAAATGATATAATTTTAAATTGGCAGTGCCTTTTCTCTCCATTTGGTGATTGATTTTAGAATCTCTTCTGTGTCTTTCCCTACTCCTTCTCACTGCTAGTGAGTTCCATATTCTTGGGATGGGATCTTGCTAACTAAAATCACTTGGGCAGAGGCAAACATCTCAGTTCTAGTTGCTTGAAATTTCTTCCAGCTGAAATCTACCCCAGAAAATTTACAGAAAAAATTTTATGCCAGTTGATCAATTCCTTTTACTAGTTTTCATATGAAGTATAAACAGATTAAAAACTGTCCCTTATTTGACACCACAAATGCATGTGATTCCCCAGAACCTGTCACAGTGTGTGCATATAGTTGGTATTAAAAAATATATGTCAAGTTAAATGAATGACTGTATTTGAAACACCTAACCATGAAAGTGTGCTTATTAAAAAAGTAAAGAACAAAAACAAAAAAACACCTACAAATACTACCCATTTAATATAGAAAAAAATAGAAAACAAAAATAAAAAGAATCACTTCTCTCTAGGCTGTATTTTTTTGGTTCTGATAGGAATTATATAATTGACTAATGTACTTTTACATTTTATTTCCTTAATGCTATTGAATGTAGTAAGTCTTTAAAATATAAAAATAAAATCCACTTACTATATCTATTAGTTGATGGGAAGCTACAACTAAGCTAGATTGGAAATTAACTGCAAAAACTGTTATTTTCAGGAGCTCAACTTGGGGATACTAGATGACTTTTGCTTCAGTCTATGAGTTGAAATGCTAGGAAGATGGAAACTACCTGCTTCTCACGTTTCTTCCCTTTTTTGTAAAAGTTATTGTGGTTCCTCCATACCCCCTTTTGACAAGATAATTTTCAAGCAAATGTACACACATAAAAGCAACAAAAATATACTGACTCGGTAGTTATGAAGATTTTTTTGAAAGTAAGCTGACTGTTGTGGAGCCCTTGCATTATGACTGCACTGTCAACTTTCTACAAGTTTTAATAAAGTAAAGAAGGACTTGGAGAAGGAGAACTTAAATATTACTCTAGCACAAATCCGAATAAATATTGACATCAAGGGAGAAAATGTGAGTAAAACATTGTCTCAAGATAGTTCTGTGTCACATTATAAAAAAATTGAAATGGTTCTATTTATACTGTTTCTTTGCAGGAAATTTTTGTTTTCTGTGTATATTTGAACATTAGGAGAAATAGTTGAGACATATTATTTGTTTAAGCAGATTAGAAAACTTCCCAGAAAATCCTACTTGCTGAGCAATGTATGTCTTAGAATTTTGCTTTTGGTAGGAAGCAGTAAATAACCCAGAAATCTAATTTCAAAATTGGTTTGGTATGTGAGTATTGGAAAACTTTGTGCTAAAACCAGAGGATCAGCATTTTTTTTTCTTCTTTCTGAGGGCCAAATTAAAACTTCTGTGATCAATAAACTGTAAAATATTTTTGGGGTAATGAGAGAATGCACCTTTATTTTCTTCCCATGTGGTAAGACATTTAAATATATTCTAAAAGACAAAAACAATCCACTTTCATGTGGAATATTTTGTACTCGATTTACTGTAAAATTAATTCTAGACTTATGGTTTTGGGGTTTTGTTTTGCAATTACTTCAACAACAAATTTGGACAGAGTTAGGTGTGGTTCACCATCTCTTGCCATCTGGATTGTGTCTCAGGGGTGGCTTGTGACACAAAGGCAGCCTGTCTTACCATGGCCAAGTGGCCTTCCACAAGACAGCTTTAACTATGTTAGCTTTGGGATTTCAGGACTGGATAACTCCATTAAAACACATTCACATTTTTAAAATGTTGATATTAAGACCATCAATTCTGTGTTTTGTTTATTACTAAAGAAAATCTGTGGAAAGGAAAAATAACTTATTTTCAGAGTATGTATAGTGATTGAAATAATTAATTTAAATGTTTAAAAATTTGAAAAAAAATTATAAATTATTTCAGAATAGCAATTTTTAATTTGGTCTTTTTGCTAATTACAGAAAATCTGATATTTTATACTATTTTCTTCAGAACACCTTTATAATAATTTTACCAGAAAATATCATAAACATGGACTTGAGTTTCTAAAATACCAGGAATAATGTATTACATCCCTTGATTTTACACCCTCTCCCGCTTCCCTATTCCATGGGCCTTGAGAGGACTCTTTCCTTCTGTTATGAATTTTATTCATCTATTGGTGAAGTGATCTCATCCTTGGAAATGTTTTATTTAAATCTCAACAATCCTGTTATAGTTGACATATCAGTTAGGTAAGAGCTGCATTTTTTTTCTAGGTAATTGAAGATCTGATCATTTGCAGAATGAGGTGAACAGATCCTGTAGATTTTTATAGGATTTGAGTTATCAGAAGTGTTTTTCTAACTCACACATCGAAGGCAACCTGGTTCAGGTCATTGGTTGCTCAGTGAATCTGCCAGGCTGTGGTACTCTCAGATTGATTGATGCAGATGAACTTGCAAATTCCACTTTCTGTCTCCAAGTGCATTCAGTGCATCTTTTTCCAAAGCTATGCCTTAACCAAAGTTCAATTAATTACTTAAACAATGGAGATTTAGATTATTTTCAGTATTCTCTAGTTAGACTTTTAATGCCTGAAATTGTTAAAAATTTGTTGAATACTGAGAAATCTCACGAATTCAAACTAATTGGAGGGGAATGGAAGGCAAATTGATAGAACTATTTTCATAGATATATAAACCGATTTGTAATTAGAATCACTGTTTGTATACTTATACTACATTAAAAAGTTCTTAAAGTTTATAGTCAAGGTAATCTGTATAATCAGTAAACTGAATAAACTCATTTTTATATATATGACAAAAATTTTGAATTCCAAATTAGTAGACACAGAAGTTGATAAGGTTTACAACGCCAGAATTTCACGCACTCTTCTTTCCCTTTGAATTTGAAATGATTTATTAAAACTTATTATCTTTAGATTCTTATCTGATACATTACATGGTTTGAAGAATTTCTATGCTCATGACTGGCTTCTTATTCCTAAGTTACGTGTAGATAAACTAGCTTCTATTTTTGATAAATAAAATTAAAATACAACTTTTATCTCCCTGTGGAATATAATTTAGTACCTAGAGCTATTTACTAACCATTGGGTTATAATAGCAAGAGTAGTGCCTTTTCTTTAATAATAAGGTGAGTGGCAATGTTTTATACAGTAGAACATTTTAGTTTATTATAATACACAGAGCAATCAGCTGCACACTCAGCCTACTGGGAATCTCTATTAAAAATATGGAACCAGAGATTGTGATAACATTTTAAATGCATTTTTAATTATCTAGAAAACAACTGGCGGCAGCTTGCTGATACACATTAGGTGAGGGTTATCTCCTACTGGCTGTGTGACTGGAGGGGAGCATCTTTTCAGCTAGGGACTGATGGACCCTTAGGATAAAGGAAGTCTTTATTTTCAGAGGTCTGCACCGAGAGAGCAGAAAAAAGGGGTATGTCCATATGTTTGTGTGGGTCCTTCTCCCCTCTGCCTAAAATCCTTATTTCTTGGTGCTGGAAACGTAATACCAAAACTGTAGAGTGTAAATATTATTGACTTCCTGGTTTGATAGAATACTAAGTACCTTCACTATGTCCAGCCAAGTTATAAAAATGAAGCTATTTGTGATAAGAGCTTTTAGTGGGATTTGCTTTTTTCTACGTCGTCTTTGTATTCCAGGTACCTAATTGATTTTAATAAATGTATATTCCAACGTTTGAAGGAACAAACAGCATTATAGTAGAGTTTTGCTGGGGACGACGATATATTTGCTAGGCAGAGATAGAATTTTAAATTGTGTTGGTTTACCACTTATATGTGTTACTTTCCTTGTGAGTGTTGATAGTTTGTGACTTCCAATTGTCTGACTGAAAAATCCAATCTCTGAATATTCTTCTCTGAATTGACTGAGAAAGTAGTGTAGTGGAAGTTGTATATTATTCTTTGTGGCTTTAAAAATTAAGGCATTTTTATTTAGATCATGAAAGTGAATTTAAGGTCCTTAGAATTTTTTTAATGAGTCACTTTAGATTGACTGCACCTTTTCATCACTTTTCTATTGCTTAGTCTTATCTTTCCTAAACTAAACCCACATCTTAATTCTTTTCTCTGACTTCTTGAATGTGATGAAACATATGTTGTAGACTAAATAAAGTTCCCTTCAGCTTTTTAAAAGTCTTTGAGTATGACTAGACTATGTAATAATCATGAGGAAACTTCCCCTCATAGGCTGTGTGTGCCCGTGGGTACGTTTTGAAGAGTCAGACGAGGTAGGGGAACCGTGCTCTTACTGTGTTGTGAGTAAAGAGTGTTTCTGACACCTACCTGAGGGCGCTCATTTGCCTCATTTGAAGTTTCTGGCCTCAGCTATTGGGGAGGGGGAGAGATTTGGGGTGAGGGGTTTGGAGAGAAGTAATTCAATCAAAGTTAATAAAAAAAGGCCTCTTCTTGTTTTTATTTTTGTTGTGTGTGTCCAGGATTTAGAAGAATTCTGCTTTAAGTTTTGCATCAATCATTTGACAGAAGTTACACAGACTGCAGCATTTTGGCAAATGGATGGCCCTCTGCTAAAGGAATTCATTGCTAAAGCCAGTAAATGTGGAGCCTTTAAGAACTGAAGCCAAGGCTGCTGCGTTTTGTGTGACTGCTCTGGGGCAGTGGTGATGGTGTGTCCTTTGTGCTCTACAGGTGACGTAATTCTGCAGGTAAAAAACCCATCAGGTTGTGTTTTTCACATGTGAGACACAGTTCTCTGCATAGGAATATATGAATGATGTATGGCTTTTCCTGAACCTATTTTAAACAATGTATTTTAAAAGTGACTATAGGTTTGTCTGGAACATTGTAAAAGGGGTAACGTTCAGCTGGGGTTTTTTTCTTCATTTTTGATTGGAGGAATTTCTGAACTTGGAAAGGGGAAGTTTGTGGCAACTCTCCTGGCTCACATATCAACAACCTTTTTGACACTAGGAGTTGAGATAGTTTGTGAATTGTGAGGTAGACATAGCTGCCCCACCGTGAATTAAAGATGTGACTTGCTGACTTGGGGGCTTGTTGAAGTACTACAGTGGTTGCTAGTTCAACTGCCTTACTGTGAAGGAATGGTTGAGATTGTTTGAGGCTTTTGTTGTGTGTTTGCACTATGTATGGACTTTTTAAAAACTTCATAGTGTATGAAAATAATATTCAGTTTAATATGAGTTAATCTATTAAAATGATAATTATGTAGCGATAAATTTCTAGGTTAGCCAAAATTTCTCTTTAAGACTTAAACACACAAAGAGTACTAATTTAGAACTGCCTAGGAAGAGTTGATAATGAAGGAAACTTTGTTTGGACAAAGGTTTTTGTCCAAATCAGAATCTCCACTATTATCTCATGGTGTTTTATTAAGATAAAATTTTAGGACTGAAGTTTAAATGCCCCCCACCCCTTTACCGTTAATGCTAATCATAAGAGGAAAATAATGACATATCCGATATACTCTTGCCTTCCTGAATTCTGGCTGCTAAACCATCAGATCGGCTACATCTGACTCAAAGAAGTAGTTCTTAAAACCAACACCCTTACAGGACTTCATTTTATCTCTTTTACCTAGGCCAAATCCATCACCAATTTGCTTATTTGTAACTTAACCAGCTTTCATTTTTGATTTCCTCTCCTTTTAACTGTGGTAGGTCTAATATTTACCACAATTGAACTTTGAAAAAGGATCAAAATTATGGTTTTCTTGGTTGTTTTGGGGGTCTGGTTATGAAGTGTGATTTGGAAGGTAAGAATGAGTTTTATCATGTGTTTCCATTAAGCTTAATTTAAGAACAAAGTTTTGTTCTGCTCTCCGGCCCACGGACTCATTTCCATTTGTGGGAGTTCTCTTAGTGAACTCTGTTTCCTGCTTGGAAGGTCCATCCATCTGAACTTGGAGCCTAAATACATTTTCAGAGCCAAATTCACAAGAGGGTGAAAACATGTGGCAGCTACTATTGTTAGCAATGTTTTTAAGTGTGTGTGGTGGCGGGAGAGTGAAGACCCATAGATAGTCCATTCATTGATAGAATATATACAAACCTAAATAGAGGTCTCAGCCCCCTTTTCTTCACCATATTGCAAATGATTGAAGCCCAGTGCATTATTAGGTTAAGAATTAGTTCTGCAACATGATAGAATTTTTCTTACTAAGTTGATAAGTGCACATTCATTTGATTGTTAGTTATGATGGGTAGTGTTTGTAACAATCACTGTTCTGTAGGCTTACGATCTGGACAAAACAAGAACTTCAGTATGTTTACTATTGCTCTTACTTGAAAAAAAAACTTAAAAAATAAAGCACAAATTAAAATAGTAGGTCCTAATATAGGTGAACCACCACTTCTCATATTACTGAGTAATTTGTATGAGTATGTATGTAGTGAAGAGAACAGGAATAAGTCCTTCAAAAAGTACTTGAGTATCCTTTTTTTTTAAATACACTTATTTTTCTACTTGGTTTTGTTGTTAATCATAGAGGAGATGAAAACTATTCTTTGAATTGCTTTTTTCATCTGATGTAATAATGAAAGCCAAAGTATTCATATTTCTTAAAATAGCCCTAAATGTACTCTTGAACTTCTTACTGGAACTTGTTTGATACGCTAGTATATAGGTTGTATTTATGTAATGTTTAGAATGATGTTAATAAATAATGTTAAAACAGGCACATCGTTGTTTTTTCCCCCCTCAAAAATCAGTAATATGCAGCTATGAAAAGGAAGGAAATTGTGACAGATGCTACAACTTGGTTGAACCTTGAAGACATTATGCTAGGTGACATAAGCCCGTTCCACATGGACAAAGACTGTGTGATTCCACTTCTATGAGTTGTCTAGAGTAGTCAGATTTGGGGGGACAGAAAGTACAGTGGTGGTTGCCAGGGGCTGCAAGATGAGAAGAGTTCTGTGGATGGACGGGGGTTATGGTAGCAAAACAATGTGAATGTGCTTAATGCTGCAAAACTGTGCACTTAAACATGGTTAACATAGTAAATTTTGTTATGTGTATTTTGTAATAATTTTTTAAAAATCAGTACTGAATCTTAGCAGGTATCAGGCTAAAAACAGGTACCACCATGCACATATATGTCAACTGTTACACACACACACACAGAGCATAGAAATCCTTTAATTTTATTCCTACTGAAAGATAGTACAATTGAACTGCCACAGCAGAAAAATGTTATCGGGATCCTTTGGGACTACCCATAAATGAAGGGAAAGACATAGTCCCTGTCCTCAGAGAATGTATAAATTATTGGAAGCAGAGAGAAGTTCAGGAATTAACAGCACAATAACATATTTGTAAACAGCATTTCATGACAGTGAGAGGAAACCCAAGAGTTAACATGAGACGCGTATCTGAAGATGTTTGTGCAGTTGGGGGAGAACAGTGTCTTTTAGCTCATTTCCAGAACAACAGCTGAGTGGCACAAGCAGTGATGCACAGGTGGGAGCTAATGAGCCTTGCAGAGCGTCCAGAAGCTAGTTTGTTTGATTCGAATGAAGCCCCAGGGCCTGTTAGGGGTGTGTGTGTGAGAACATTTATTGTCCTCGGAGCCATGTGTCATGCCCTGTGCTGCACACGCACTTTTTTTAGTGCCCATGTTTTGTACCATAAGGTGGGCAGAATTAGACTTGGGTAGATTACATAATTTGATTAAAGTTTTCAGTAGCATGTGATTAAGTATATTTGCCTACTTCATGACTGCCAAACACAAGGGGCATTGTGCCAAGATTACCTCCTGTGTGACAGGTTAAATTTGAAAGTAAAGTGGGGGACAAAGGTTTCCTTTTAAATAAAGATCATGTTGTTAAAACTGTTACTCAAATAAGCTTTGCTATAGGATGTCGTAGCAGGAAAGGAAGTTATCTAGACCGGGGAAATCTTTATTCAGCGGGTCATCCTCCAGGTGATTCTTATGTGCACATAAAATTGAAAACCACTGATTTAATATTTTGTCCCTCAGGTAAGAATGACTTGGGCTAGGGTTGCTGTTACAACAGGAATGGACACGTTCTTTTTCATCTACATCATATTCTTCCTTCATCAGATAGTGTTTGAGTACTTCTACATGCCAGACCCCATGCTGGGGACTCAGATCAAACTCATTATGAAATGGAGCATTAGTTAATTAGGGTACTATAGTAAAAAATTAGAAACGTGTATGAGGTTTTCAGGGGTCAGACATAGTGGTGGGGCATAAAAATCTGAATTGCTTGAGAAAAATCTTATCTTTTATTTTTTCATTCTTACATATTCCCACTGATGGTCTTATTCTGAGAGTCCAGTTTTAAATTTTAATGTTTATTTTGAAGATGATGTATGCCCATGTGGTGGCTGTGGCCGAAATTTAAAAACTAGACTTTGTGACGAGAAGACAGGTAAATTTAGTACAAGTAAAACAGAATATTCAAATTTATTATATATAAGAGGCATGATGGGCTGAAACTAGTCTCAAAAGATAAAGATCGTTTGTGCATTTATTCAACAAACATTTATTGAATATGCTGGGAATGTGATAGTGAGCACACACAGAATAGTGAGTTCCTGCCCTCAGAGAGCTTATTCTCTAATGATGTGATGTGAGATACGGTGGGTTACACTGGGAAGTGATATGAATGAAGGAGGAAGTAGGCGAACCCGTATCATATCATCAGATCTGCATCATATCATTAAATCTGCAGAAGCAGTCAGAGAAAGGCAAAGGAGCAGTTAAGACTTCACAACAGGATATGCAAAGGCCCTGGGGCTAGGAGCACCTGGTGTATTACTGGAAGTCACCCAAGTGGGGCAGGCGTGAGAGGCAGTGCATCAGCAGGAAGGAGTGGGCCAGGGGTGGGAGGCCGTATACCAGCAGGAAGCCAGGGAAGAGTTTTAGTACTGAGGGTGGGAGAGATGGGAGGTATGATCCAATTTACTCAAGCAGAACCTGAGAAACATTTTATCAGAGAGGAGAGGTAAGGAGAAGTGAGATAATAAGAGGGAGGCAGCAAACACCCAGTCAGGTATGAACAGGGGAGAGCTGGTAAGGACTGAGGTTTGCCCTCCCGAGAGCCATGAGAGGCTTTGTCCTAAAGATTTGGGGCTTGCACAGGCCGGGGCTCCAGTTTTCAGCCTGCTTGCGACTATGCCGGAGTCCTGGCTTATGAAATGGTAATTCTTAAGAAGATAGAGAAGATACTGAAGTAGAACTTGAACTAAGGTCTCTATTTTCTTGAACAGAGCACAAGGTTTGTTTTAAATCCTGAAGTAGCTCAGTCTCTTCCTTCAGCTGCATCTGTTTTTCTTCAAATTGATGAATTTTATTCTCTAACGCTATGATAGGGAGAAATAAAGTTATTTCAGTTATTCAGTAGTTTTATAAATAATGTACTATTTCTAGCCTCTTTCACTTGCTTGTGCCTGGTATCCAGAGCTGTGCCCCGAATAAGGAGCATCTAGGGCAGCGGTTCTCAACCTGTGGGTCATGACCCCTTTGGGGGTCGAACGACCCTTTCACAGGGGTCGCCTAAGACCATCGGAAAACAAAAAGATATTTACATTACGATTCATAACAGTAGCAAAATTACAGTTATAGAGTAGCAACGAAAATAATTTTATGGTTGGGGGTCACCACAACATGAACTGTATTAAGGGGTCGCGGCATTAGGAAGGTTGAGAACTGCTGCTCTAGGGTCTTTGTGAGCAGGCACTGGTTTTTTATGCCTCTGCTTCCTCTTCTAATTCAGGATAGAATTTCTGGTATTTATCGCACATAAAGCTGATCAGTAAATCTTTTAAGATTTTTGTACATATTTATAGCAGAAAAAGTTCCTTTTGTGTATCTCTGAAAACTCAAAAGCAGCAACTCTATAACTATCCATTTGTTGACAAATGATGGGGGAGGGCATGTGGTTAGGATAGCAAGGATGAGGGCAAATCTTTTATAAAAATGCATCCACTTTTTAATGTTACATAGAAGCTTTTGATTTTATTTAGAAATACGAAGGCTTATTGTGGAAACTTAAGAAACTACTTTAGTTAGGCTTTATAAATAACTACTACTCAGTGGCAATGCCATTTTTTAAAAAACCTCAAAATTGAAGACTATGAAAACATACATCATCTTTCTTTAGAATACCTATGTATACCTATAGTTAACTTTCTGGAACATTAGAAAGGCTAAATTAAGCAAGAGAGCCTTTATCAGTTGGGGTGTCAAAAGTTAAGCCTTTTAAACTGGTTACTCATGAGATTCCAAATTGTGTCTCCTCCTGGTGCCCCAACCCCAATACTGCTCTGTAACCTATACACTGCCACACAACTCCCCATGCGGTGACATGTGACATTTTCCAAACATATCATTTTTATATGAAAGAAAAACACAGATGAAAGTCCTCTACAAAATAAAAAGCTTTTAGAAAAAAGATTTTAAAGGCTGCTTTTTAAAAAAAAACATGGATATTCCCTTTAGTGGCATGCAGACACTCTCAAGAGACTGTAAAAGACACACTGTTTTTGGTAGATTTAACAAAATATTTTTTCTGTTGATTATAAATATGATACAAAATTCAAATTAGAAATGTGTAATTTGAAAACAAAAATGAGAAAAGCTTGTGTATATTGAGACAGGGTTATGGACTAGTATTTTCTCCACTGGGACAACCTGTTGTCCAGACACCATCTGCTGGACAGACAGACACATCCCTGGAAAAGGACAGAGCCATCTGCTGGATAGACAGACACATCCCTGGAAAAGGACAGAGTGTAGGGCACATAGCCTGCCCAGTGGTGCCAGGCAGCCCTGATCGACAAGTCAGATCAGACTCACAAGTGGAAATTCAGCCTGTTTTGAAGGCGTCTTAAAGAATGGTGAAAGGACCGACTCAATAAATACTGGATTGTAGGAAAAGTCATGACGTATTTTTTTCTATGTTTTTCGTTGCAAAAATGCGTCATGACTTTTCCGCCAACCCAGTAGTTGATATTTTATAGAAAGCCTAAGTCTCTGCCTTCCCCCCTCCCCCGCAAGGTTTCTTCTTTTTCAAAAATTTCTTGGCTATTGTCACTCATTTTTTTTCTGGTGAACTTTAGAGCCAATCAGTTACAATCGTCCCCCATCCCTTGGATCTGAAGATGAATGTTGGAAGAACTGAAATTGGTAGACAGCACAGCAAGTGAGAGGGAGACACGGCAGCACAACTGGTCAGAGCCTGGCTTCCTGACAGCAGAGGCCCAAGGAAGCCTCAGCCGTTCCTGCCGATTTCCAAACATGGGGCCCAGATACTCCCATTTTGCGATCCATTTTTGGTTGTTTCTACACAAAGTATTATATGTATGTTAGAAACTGTGGAAAATACAATGCAGTACTAAGGACAGAAGAAATCACTAATCCAGCCATCTAGAGAGAAGTACTGTTTCCATTTGGGTGCGGTATTTTTGTGTGCATATGTGTCGCTGTGTATTTTATACATTTTGTCTTCTGTGTGTGAGGGGTCATATTATTTTGTAGTGAGCTTTTTCATTTAATAAAACAATGAACATTCTCCTGAAATATGATTTTTATCAACTGAATAGTATTATGTTATTTCAGTATCTATGATAAATATAAACTTGGCTGCTTGGTTATAACTCATATACCTGCATGAAAATGTGCAACTGTGTCTTCAAACAATCTACAGTCAAAAAGTGAAGTCCCAATTTCTTCATATTCTGGAGGGAGAAAAACATTTTCAGTTTTAATTTAAATAATTTATATAAGCAGAAACACTTCACAAAATAACCCAAAAGGAGGAAAAGTAGACAGAGTAATCATCTTCTGTAGAATTTGAGTGTTAGACTGCAGCATCAGCGTAACCTGGGAACTTGTAAGCAATGTAAATTCTCAAGTTTGAGAATTACTTGGTCTAGACAAAAGAATAAAAAGAATGCAATGAAAGAGCTTTTGGAAATGTTGGCTCTTATAATTTCATTTTTTGGTCTTGACCTATAGAAAATCCCTTTCAAATAAGCATATATTTTATATTGTTCCCTAAAGTATAGACTGTCAAGCTTTTCTTTGTAAAATAGCTCTGTTTTATAATCAAGGTTTTAAGCTCACAGGATAGGTTATAATAAGGTGAAGCAGTTATATACCTGCACACATGAATGGGACTTCAGCTTCCCAAAGAGCTCCTAATGAAAGGTCACATTTGACTAAGCAAACATCAATCAGAACATTAAAATTACTTTAAACATGAACAATACAAAAAAGACACTTGGCTTATTAAAGAACAGAATTTGAGTCAAATCCAAACTGTAACATAATGCCATTCTTGGATCTTAGCAACAAGTAAGCTGGGCTGTGGGGCCAGGGTGGGGGTGGGGAGTGGGGAGAGGGATGAAGGCGACCGAATCTCTTGCTGGTCACCCTCAGTTACGCACCTCTGGAAAATATACGAAAACCTTCCTACGAAATTAATTTGTGAATTACCCACATCCTGTTATTTTATAAAAGACGAGAGCTCTGGAACAATGGATTTTATTATAGAATGAGATAAAGAAGGAAAAGAAAGATCACAGAAAGAAAATGCATACATTTTTTTGGTTTTGTTTTACATGTAGGTCTGTGAGAAGTCTCTGTATGTAGAAATTTTGCTGTTTTAGTACCTGATTCTGAAGTCGTTTCATCCATGAGTCTTTCCTGAACCAAATGGAGTTTGTCTAATAGTTCTTCAAATAAATCATTAAGAAGTCCCACTTCTTTACATTTCTTAAGAAAAGCAGCTTTCATAACTGTGTCAAAAATAAGAAACACATTTTAGAAGGAAATGATCTTAGGGCAGCTACCATAAAGCACTTTATGGTCGCTTCTTCAGACCTTGCCTGGTGATGGATGAGCATAATTAGTTAAGATAATACATTACAGCACCTTTAGTTTTTCTATTTATTGTAATTTCATCATACCTCATTTTTTCTAGCTGAAACAATGAGTGAAATGTTACAAAAACTGAAAATGTGAAAAACGTCTCTGCTTAGATTATACCAATCAAGAGAATTTTCTAAAATTTAGCTCCAAATCATGGAGATGAGAGCCTCCTTGTTTCTGTCAGTTACTGTGTGTTGTTAATGAATGTCTATCTCCTTAAAGAGCCGAAAGCTAGTCGCTGGCTCTAGCTACCTGTGGAGCAGGGGGTGGTGAGATCACAGTGTGAGCTCAGGCAACCCTGGCTTCTGTATCAAGAAGTGTATCCATTCTTAATACTGAAGAACTAGAGCATCCCAACCTGTTATTTTGATCTTCTGGAGTTATGACAGAGTAGGTAGTTGTGATAAAAAAAGTTTTACTCTTATAATTAGTTATGACAAGGCTAGAAGAACAAAGTAGGATACCAACTTTGGAATACATGGGTCATGATTTTTGTAAGTACTATAGGTCGTATTTGTTACAGACAAAACATAACAAACCTGTGTGTTTGCCATCTTCCTTCATTTGTTTTATGGGTGTATTTAATGGCATTAGTTCACGTGGCTAGAAGGAGAGAAAAATCAAGATTACACCGATTTTACTGTTGACATTTAATATTGCAAAAATTGAAAACCAGTCTTTTGTTGTGTATAATTCAATGATGTGCCTATGGTGAAAATCATGCCCATTTTCATCTGTAAATGTAAACATTAACTATATTTTTGTTTTGTGTAACAAAACATCATGTTTTATACAAGCACCTCTTGTATAAAACAGTAAAAGGTGAGGGTCGCTGGCTCATACCACTTAGCTCATATGAGCTGATAGGGAAAAAGCTGTTTCAAATCCCCAAGATGTTTTCATATGCTTTACACATAGCAGTAATCCAGAAAATTGTGTTACAAATTAGGTCAAGAATGGATCACACAGCTGGGAAATACTTGGCTAGGTAAGGATGCTCAACTGTACCTCTGCCCATTTTAAGACCACAGGCACCCTGTGGGCTCAGATCCCTCTCACTGATTTGGTACCAGGGGATGTGTGTTAGGAGCTGTGGGACTGTCACCTCCCGAATGTGTGCTTGGATACCCAAGACACATCTAACTGCTCTTTAACATCCATTTCGTTGTGGTTCTATCATCATTACACCTGAAATTCAGAATGGTTAAAATGAGGACTTTGTATGAATAAACTTAAAGCTATGATAAAATTATGACAAAATACCTGTACATGCAAACTTGTTGAGGAAACGTTCCTCCTTCTCCTTTTTCTTTTCCCTCCTGAAAAATGAGCTGAAAATATAAATCATGTAGAAAGTAGAACCCATAAAGGAAAAGACCAATGCTTGACTACATAAAATATAAAATTCTTATATGCCAAAAGTTACTACAAAGTCAAAAGATATGGCAAACTTAGATTAAGTGTTTGAAACAAATGATAAAAGGCCAATTTAAAAAATGTAAAAAGATCTTATAAATCAATATGAAAAAGACAACTGAATAGAAAATGGGCAAATGGGAACCCTCTGGGGAAAAAAAAATAGAAAAAAAACCAAAAAAAAAAGATTGGGTGACAAGAAAACAAATATAATTGATCAAAAGATAGGGGAATACACTCAATTTCTCTCATAAGAAAAGATATGCAAAGTAATACAGAGAGAATTTTTCACCTATCAAATTGACAAAGATGAAGGTGCTTAATATATAATATTTAAAAGGATTTGGGTAATTGTATACTGCTACTGCAGCCTTTTTGGAGGATAATAAGCCAGTATTTATCTAAAGTTTCACTGTTTATACTCTCTGATCCAACAATCTACTTATAGAAAGTTTTCCTAATAGTATAGTTGCATAAAGGCACAAAATTGGAGAAAAATGTTAACTACAGTATTAAATGTGACAAGAAAAAACGAAATAACCTAAATGTCCATCATGCAGAGACTAGTTCATCTGTAGTTCAGGAATAGGACTGCATGATATACACAACAGAATATTACGCAGTCTTTTTAAAGTGAGATAGACCCACTTGTGCTGATGCAGAAGGATCTCTAGGATATATTAAGTGAGATACGCAAAGTACAGTAGTATGTATGTTTGTATATACAGAAAATTTTTGGAAGAATTCAAAAGAAACAATGATGGTTTCCTTCTGGGAAAGGAGTCATTACAGACAGCATTATAATCTGCTTTTTAAAACTAATACATTATTGTTATCTTTCCCTGTCAATACACTGGTTGACAACGTTTTTCATATTATTTCCTGATAAGTTTCCTGATAGTATTTCCTGATAAGTTAAAAGGGTAATGTTTCCACCCCACAAAAAAAAATATTCCAAGTTAAAAAAACGATATTGCCTTGGAATGGCATTTAGTTCTGAAGGGCTTATTTTATGCACACCCAATTATTCCTACAAAGTGTAATTTCTGTCCCTCGTCCATCCTCATTAGGACCTAAGCTGTGACCAATGCTTACTATATACGAGGCATACCAAATTCCTACTAGCAACACATATTTCAAAAGCATGTGAATTTAGGATTTCTTTTTATTTTCCCCCAAAACATCTACCCATTATAAAAAAAAAAGGGGGGGGGGAATGACCAAAAAATTAGGGTAACAATATTGTTTAAAGAGTACTATTTAACACCACAAAGTGCAGTTGGCATGACACAGAATTGAGTGTTTTCCAAAGAGGTTCTGACTCCAGGTTTAAGTGCTGGTAAGATACTACTGTTCTGACAGTACATGGAGGCCATTTGTGAATGAAATAACTCCCATAACTCCAGTTAGCTGGAATACAATTTTCTTTAATTGGAACTGAAATGCTAACCATGCATTCTTATGAAAATTTCATTCACGGACTATGCAGCACTTTTCTGATACTCTTAAAATTCTGAGAGGTAGGCACAAAAGTCAAAGCTTTTTACCTTGTCTTGGGGTAGTCTTCTCACTGTGGTGAGGATGGAAGACACGAGACAAACACTCTACTGAGGGTTGGTCTAGTTCATAAAGAAGAAAAGTTACTATATTACACGCTGCACAAAGAAACTGACAATTTTATAAGTGTGTAAAATTTTAACTCAGAAATTTGTATTTTAATTGAGTGAGGCTAGTAAAGCAGGCTATTCCATGTCTTACCTAAATGTTTACCTTTTTTAAACCCACAGTACTAAATTGTAGAGACTTACCAATTTGAGTTTCTTTCGGTGGAGCATGTTGTTGGCAAAACACACTGAAAACATGCAATTGCAGAGAATTGTTAAATTTTTACTTACACTTTTCAAATACTGTGTCTATTTTCTTGTGATTTAAAAGGAAACTACACTATTTTTCATGATGGCTTCACCCTAAACATTTGTTAAACATGCTGCTTGAAACTTCTGGTCAAGATGGCGGGGTAGGTAACTGCTGTGCTCGTCTCCTCCCATGACCACATAAAAATTGCAATTAAATTATAGAACCACTATCCTTGACAATCACCTGAAGACTTGTTGAATGGAACTTGTAGACCAAGGGATATAAAGAAGAGGCCATGTTGAGACTGGCTGGTAGGAGGGATCGAGACATAAAACAGGCCGACCCCACACCCGCGTGTGGTGGTTGAGAATCAGGAGGGGTAGCTTGGCTGCAGAGGTCCCCCCTGAGGACTATCATTCTCTTTTTTATTTCATTTCATAACTTTAAACAGGTCAAAAATGCTTTTAAGATGGATTTTTTTCTTCAACTTTCCATGACATACTTTAGACTGTGTCTACATACAAAAAAGTTAACTTAGCATGACCTGGATCAATTCAGTTAACAACTAACTGGCTTACTGGTTTTTTCTGACTAAACTGTATAATTATTTAACTGAACTGAAACCTTTCATCAGGAGGAAGCTCAAGTTTCTTCCTGGATAAAACAAATATAATTCTATTGGACTTGAACTATGCCTTAATAGGTTAAAATTAACATTGAAGAATTACTGAAATACATGAAGCAAGATATAAAAGCCAAAGGCAATACAAACAAGATAAGTTTCTTCAAGGACTTAATGATTGATTACTATATTTGCTGCATGGTTTCTTTATCATTTTTAGAAGCTATTTCTAGGTAAGATGGTGGTGACTGTGGTGGGGAAAGACATTTATTCGGCAGACAAGATGGATAAACCATAGACCTGTGGCTAACAAGTAAAGGCTCCTTTCCTGTTTGTGGAAAAGAGTAAATGTGAACTGGTTCCCAGTCTCATGGCTACCCATTAGGTCACTCATGCCACTATGACAACCAATGCTTTCTACCAGGAAAGAAAGGAGGTAGAAAGACTACAACCAAAAAGAAAACCAACCCTATGTATTTTCTTCCTGTGATATTTACAGAAGGTATTGTGAAGTTTGGTTCTCAACTGGGCATCCCCAAACCAAGTTTTTATTTGGAAACCATCTGCATAAAATTAGCGTTAAAAATCTCCTTGCCTTAATCTAACTATTCCTTATTCCATTTCCCCAAATGCAGCCTTAAAACGGTTTTATGAAATACTTATAAATTCCATTAGATCCAGTCTGTAGAACTGCGTAGTCATTCTTGGCACAGAAAAAGTGGTAATTCTTGGAACAGGCTTTTTCATCACATCCCACAGTGGCTCCTCTTTTACCACAAAATGTGCATTTCTGCAGAAGAATAGGTTTTACTGAGTAAGCACCTGTTTTTCATAATCTTTGTTACAATTTAAAGTTAAACATGTCATTAAATGTTATTCTTAAGCCAGCAGCCCTAACGTCCTCAGCTACAAACATTAGGTACATCAACATTTGGCCACTCAGCTAACTAGAATGCTTGACAGACTGTTTTGTAATGATCTGATTAAAAGCAGAAAACTCTTCCCGGCCCGAGCTGAGTTGCTGCTGAGCTGCCAACAGGTGGCAGGATGGCTCAGCTTAAAAAAAAACAGAAAAAACTTTTTGGGGAAAAAAATCTCTTTCTTTTAAATAGAGATTTCTGAAGAGCAGGGTTGGCAAAATAGTCCAGATCTAGCCATGGGGTCCTGTTAGGGACATTGAGCCTGTGGCAAGGACGAGAACTGTGAGCTCTAGCCAGTGACTTCCTCTCTCCTCCCTGCAGATAACAGAGCCTGTCTTAACAGAGTTACTACTGAGGACATTTACTAATGTGAAGTAAAGTAAGTGAAACCTCTTTGGAATCTATGTAGCAGGGCCCAGAATTTTTAATTAAAAAAAAAAATTCATGAGTCATAAACTTTGACTTAGTTCATTTGCTCTCTTGCTTTTACATATTAGCTTATCAATCTGGTATTTTATATATGAAGGTGATATAGAAATGGCTGGGAGGATAGTAGGTGGTCATAGAAACCTAACTGGTTTAGCCCATGACCGAGGCTGCATGAAGTGGAAACAAATGAAATCACCTTGCAAAACAGGAGCTAGCTCACACAGTATCCCAAGGTCAGCACAAGCAGACATATAAATAAAGAAAATTCAAATATGGGTAAGAAATTAGACATGATAAAGATAGAATTTAAAATCAGAGCACAAAAAAATGATCATTTAATTTTGGGGGGTCATCTGGCTATATGTGCAGGAAAAAAGTTAGCTCCCTACCTCACAATATATTCCCAAATAAATTCACATGGATTAAAGCTATAACTATTTAAAAAACCATAAAAATTAGAAAATACTGGATAAAGAAAAAAAGTATGGTATTGAGAAAGGCATCCTAAGCCTGGCAGGAAACCCAAAACCACAAAGAAAAAGACTGACAGATCTGACTATATAAAAAATTTAAACTTCAATTTTTATGGTGACAGGTACCATTACAAAATATACAGGAAAAGACTGAAAGAAAATGTTTGCTGCATATATGACAGCGGGTTAAGACTTTGATAAGCCACAGAAAAATGGGAACCAGCAAATCAGAGAAGAACTACAAATGGCTAATAAACATTCATTCATTTAGACTACTGAGTAGCCGTGGTGTGGCAGGCACTATTCTAGGATAGGGGAGCAACAGTGGATACGGTACCTGCCCACACTGGAGTGGACAGAGACACAAACATAGTGAGGTATGCTTTCTAGAGAATTAACATAAGGCAAAGTAACAGAGTGTCACTGGATCTCTGCTTCAGATTGGGTAAAGGCCTCTCTGAGGAGGTGATATAGAAGCTTTGCTATGAATAATAATATGAGCTCCTAGCACACAAAAAAGCAGGGGGAAGAATATTCTAAGCAGAAGGCCTTACGTTCTGGCAGGGAGAATGAGCTTCCCCATTGGCCAGTCTACCTGAAGGACAAGGAGGGGGAGGGGAGGGGAGGGGATGGGGCTAGAGTTGTTGGACCAGAGAGGAGGGCGAGGAGGAGGATATCTGGGATAAGATCCAAGGGGTAGTAAGGGCTTCATCATGTAGGGCTTATGAGCCAGAGGAAGGAGTTGGGGTTTTATCCTCATGCAAAGGGAGCATAAACTGAGGGATAGTTTTAGGGCACTATTCTGGCTGCTGTGTGGAGAATGGGCTGAGATAGGGATGGGCGGGAGAGAAAGCAGGACAAGTATCAGTAGCGTTCAGCAACCATCCAGTTACTACCCTCCGTGGATACAGAGGGAGAAGTGGAGGACAGAAGGTCTGCAGGGTGGCGCTAGTGGCCTCGGTGCTGGGCTGGGAGGTTGATGAGTAGATAATGATGGATGGATGATGTGCTGTTTATTGAGGTAAGGGGTAAACAAGGTTTGCGTGCAGTGTATATATGTGTGTGTAGGGGATGGCTTTTTTGGCCTCTTGAACATGAGATGCTATTAGATATCCATGTAGACATGTCAGGTTGGTCATCAGGGCTAGAGATACAGTCACGGGCATAAGTATGGTATCAAGAGCCATGAGAACTGGGTGAGACCATGTAGGAAGGCTGTTCAGATTAAGGAAGGAGTCCAGGACAGAGCGTGGGGACCTCCAAACTTTAGAGGTTGAGCAGAAGGGGAAACGCAGCCATGGCGTCTGGGAAGCAGCAGCCAGAAAAGGAAGGGATACATTAGCAGAGTGTGTCCAGGTCAAAAGAAAGTGCTTTAAGACGCAGGGCACAGACAGCTGTGTGACGAATATTGCTGAAAGGTCAACTAAGGACAGAAAAGTGACTTTGTATAATTGACCAGATTTTTGTGTATAAGGCAAGGTTCTTTTTTTTTTCAAGATGACATGACCAGTTGATCATGTTACCAGGCTGAAGAGAATAGTAGAAAAGGGGATACTGACATGAAGAGGACAGAAATGCTAGGGCCTTTGTCCTTAAGGAGGGGACGGAACTGCCTCCAAATTCCACGAGAAGGGCTGGTTTTGACAGGAGTGAGGTGTGAGGTGGGAAAGGTAGGTGAATGGTAATTTGGATAGGAGGAGTTCCTATCTAATGGCTTCCATTTTCTCAGTAAAAATCAGGTAAAGAAATGTAGGCACAACCCCAAGAATCAACCCTAATGTAAACTGTGAACTTTGGGTGTGCTGTGATCTGTCACTGTAGGTCACCGCTTTGTCACAAACTTACCCCGATGTGGGATGTTGATCGTGGAGGAGGCTGAGCGTGCGTGCGTGTGTGTGTTTGGAGGGGGGGGGGTTGGTTATGGAAAAGCTCTGTACCTTCCCCTCAATTTTTCTGTGAACCTAAAACTGCTCTAAAAAATAAAGTCTAAAAAAAAAAATCAGGTGTAGTCATTAACTTGAAGATGGGAAGCTGGAGTGGGGAGAGGTTTTAAAGAGAGAGAAGCGTATATAACACAGTAAATGTGGAGGGTGGAGGGTGAGTATTGATGGTCCATTTGAGGTCTGTGGCCATGAATCTAAGATCCAGTCGACACATTTGTGGGGTTTTCTCTGGTTCCCAACCATTCAAGTGCGGGTGCTACTCAGCATACACAGACCACGGGTGGATGTGTTTTGCCAGGGTGGGGTTCTGCTAGGTGAGTAAGGAAGTGGTACGTGTGGGCTGCAGGGGGACACTCAGGCCTTGGGAAGAGTGACTGCAAGGCTGGGTCATGGCTGTGAGGGGGGGCCGCTGACTGGGAAGGGGTCACTGGAGAACTGGAGCAGGGTGAGCTGGGACGATGGGAGATGCCTGAAGAGAAATGATGTTCAACCTCTCCCTTGATCAGGGAAATGCAAAATAAAACTTTCAGACTGGCAAAAATTAACAAGCTTGTGATATTCATTTTTGTCAATAGCTAGGGAAAGCGCTCTTTCACCCACTATACACAGAAGTAGTGGTACAACCTTTCTAGGAGAACAGTGTGTCAGCATGTTTCAAAATTTTTAAAAAGAATTCTCTTTGACTCAGCCATTCCACTTCTGGGAAAAGTCTACAGCATCACTCAAACAAGTACGCAGGGACACATGTACAAAGACGTTTACTGCAGCATTAGTCGTTACAGTGGAAAACCAGAATCAACTCATTATCTGACAACAAGGGAATGGTTTCATGCATTCTGGTACGGCCTGTGGAGTTCCATGAATTCAGGAAAGAGAATGGAGGGTCACAGGCTTCCAGTTACGTGCCACGTCACTCTTGCTTTCCAAGCTTTTGCACATGCTGACCCCTCTGGAATTCCCCCTTCCTCATCTTCATTTTCAGCCAACTGGGAAGCATTACTCAGCCCTAGCTGCAGTGAGGTGCCTGCTTGCAGAATGCCCTGTGCTGACCCTTCTCGAAGCACGTCAGGCTGTGCGACCACTGTCCATGGGTATGCTGACACCTTGCAAGGGCTCAATAGCTGTTTGTCTCGGGTCATTAACCTCACTGTGCTGGTGGTCAGGGCTTCAGGTGCTCACACCTGCTGGGCTGCTGGTTAAGCTGTGAAGGGCCTTTCATCGAGGAAGTGTAATGTAATGGGCCCAGTAGGGTAACTACTCAACAATCTCCTTCCCAGGGGGAGCTGACCCCAGCTCCAAGGGTAGATCCTGAGCGGTGATGGTCACCTCTAGGAAGAGCTCTTATTCCATGCTTGGGGATGAACTTTCTCTTTCCCTCGACAGAAATAAAGCCCGATGCTTCAGGTGCTGCCTGCGGCCACCCTGTGACCACAAGGGACCAGCTGATTTTGTGGACAGGAGGGCAGAGAGGATGATGAGCCTTTGATGACATCACTGAACCAGTGAATCAACCCACCTTGAAGCCAGTTTTTCCTCTGGCTAAGTGAGAAAAGAAGCATCCTTTTTGTTAAAGCTAGTTTGAGTTAGGGTTCCTTCTACTTAACGCCCAAAGAATTCTAACTCATATCTACTTTGCTGATGAAGAGTGTTGTAGTTTACTTTAAAATAAAATGTAGTTTACTTTAAAATGTTCAGTCAAATCTGAGTTTCCAATACAGGTCCCTAATTCCTCCAGTTCTCCACGCTGCATCTCTATATCCCTGGTTTATTAATTAAATAGACTCTTTTGAAGGCATCCCCCGAGGGCCTGTTTGTCTTGTATGAGTGATAAAATCATTTATACTTACCAACCTCCATCCTCTAGAGATTTCTTTCTTTACTGCTTCAACATCAAAATTTCTATCATAATTATGTGGCTCATGATCCTCAGATTCCACAAGTGCTGAAGAATACAGCTGCAGATTGGGAAAAGAAAAAACTCAAGAGTATGCACAAAGTACTGCTGAAAGTCGCAAGTCAGAAAATGGTACCCCAAAAGTACTCAACAGGAGTGGAAGATGGATTGTGGAGAGGACAGTGACCACCTTGGGTGTGTGAGCAGATTAACAAGCCAACCTGCTCTTCTTTGGAAGTGGCTCCAACCCCCAGGCATGTTTTATGTTTTCTACTGCATAACCCCGACCCCCAGTGGCTAACTGGACCTGGTTGGGGCCTTAACCCATGCAGGGCCAATCGGATTCCCTATTCTAGGAAAGTGGAATAGGCTCAGAGCCACACGGTCAGAGCAAGTCAGTCTGCAAAGAGAAGAAAACAGAAATGAGGGCTAGAGAGGACATCCTGGGTTCCTGATGGCTTTCCAGCTCCTGTTTCTTAGACCCACCTGCATGCTTGCCATCAGAAGCCATGAAGTGCCCCTGCAACCTTGTTACAAAGCCCCTTTAAATGCTCTGTGTTAACCTGAAACCAAAGGAATCTCACCTACCTCTGAATTTAAGATCAACATTACAACCATAAACTCAAATAACAAAGGGCATGGAAAACATAAAATTTTTGTGACATGGGCATATAAGCAAAGATTCCTTATAAAAAGCAAAAAATATAAAGAAAAACTTAATAAGCTGGACTTCTCAAAATTAAAACGTTTTGCTCTGTGAAAGACCAATATTGTTAAGAAAACAAAAGGTAACCCAAAGACTAGGAAAAAATATTCGCAAAATGTGTATCTGATAAAATACTTGTATCCAGAATGTAGGAAAAACTCTTACAACTCATCATAAGACAATTCAGTTAAAAATGGGCAAAACAATTGAACAGACACTTCATAGAGAGTTACAAATGTTGAATAAGCACATGAAAAGATTCTCAATATTATTAACCCTCAGGCAAATTAAAACCACAATAAGATACCAACGTACATTCATTAGTCTGGTTAAAATGAAAAAGACAGAAAATACCACACATCGATGAGGATATGGAGCAAAGAATACTCTTATTCACTGTTGGCAGAAGTGTGAAATGATGAAATCACTTTTAAAGTTAAACACACACTTACTTCATGACCCAGCATTCCTCTTCTAGGTATTCACCCAAAAGAAATAAAAGCATATGCCCACACAAAGACTCAAAGCAGATTTATCTTAATAGCCCCAAACTGGAAATAACACAGGTGAATGGATAAAGAAATTGTGATATATCCATACAATGGAATACAATGCAGAAATAAAAAGGAACAAAATACAGATACGTGCAACAACACAGAAGAATCTGTATGGAGCAAATACTGTACTGAGCAAAAGAAGACAGACACAAAAGACATACTGTAGGATTCCTTTCATATGAGATTCAAGACAAGACAAGATCTATAGGGACTGGGGGTGGGGAGACAGTGATTGCAAGGAGGCATGTGGGAACCTTCTGGGGTAATGGAAATGCTCTCTATCTTGATGGTGGGGGTGGTTACATTGGTTAAATACATGTCTGAAAACTCTCTGCACTGTATACTTAAAATAGGTGCATTTTGTTTTATATACGTTATACCAGTAATGTTAACTGAAAATAGTAGCAAATTAACATTAACAGTATTTTAGAATAAAACATCATGATCAAATAGTGTTAATCTCAGAATGGTTTAACAGCAGAAAATAAGTAAGCATGTAACGTATTACTAATAGATTAAAAGGAGAAAATTTTAGACATGAAAAACTAGTCCAACCCATGACCTATTATAGAATCCTTTGTTATAAAGAAAGTTATTAGGACAATAGATGAAACCTGAGTGGTTTGAGAATTAGATGGTAGTAATATATTAGTGTTAATTTCCTTATTTTGATGGTAAAATTGTGATTATGTGAGAGAATGTCCTTGTTTGTAGGAAATAACACACTAAAGTATTCAAGAAAGATAAACGTGACGTCCCAGTTCACTTTTAAATGGTTCCAAAAACAAAACAATCTTTGTACTGTATGTGCAACTTTCTGTACATTTGAAATTTTTTTAAAAACCATCAAATTGTGTACATAAAAAAATTAAAGCATCCAGCATTGTGCATGGCCAGAGAAAGAGAAGGAAAGAACCCAGAAGATCATTACAATAGATGCAGAAAAAGCATTTTATAATATTCAATATCCTAACTTTTAGCAGACTAGAAATAAAACAGAACACCTTTATTTTAATAATGTGAAGTATTAAAAACCTAAAGTATACACAACTTTACTGGTAAGACCTTAGGTGCATCCTATGAATATAAGAAACAAGATAAGGCTCCCTACTTTAAAAGCTTCAATAAATACATACATACATACATACATACATACATACATACATAAATAGAAGCTTCTAATCACTATTATAATAGAATGTTCTAAAAAAATGCAATAAAACAAGGTAAAGAAATTAAGAAGCCCAAAAATTAAAAGAAAAAAATAAAATCATGGGCCGGCCGAGTGGCGCGTTGGTTAGGAGTTGGCTTGGGACTCCAGCTCTAAGCAGCAGGGCCGCCGGTTTGGATCCCACATGGGCCAGTGACTGCGCCCTCTACAGCTAAGATGGTGAACAACAGCTCGACCTGGAGCTGGGCTGCCATGAGTCAGCACTGCGTAGGCTGCAGTGGGGCTGACTGTCAGCTGGCAGGCGCTTTCGCGAGCTGCCCTGAGCCTCAGTGAGCAGCTGTCCAATGGCCGGTGAGCGACTGCCTCACCTGGGAAGAGCGCAATGATAATATCAACATGAGCCAGTGAAGCGACGTCCTCCACAACTAGACTGAAGAACAAAAGGACAGCAACTTGTCTGTTCCCCTTCCCTGATTCCCCAACGCTGTTCCCTCCCCCAATTCCCCAATAAAATCCTTTAAAAAAATAAAAATAAAAATAAATAAAATAATCTTTATGAGGATTGTCCAAATAAAATATCCAGGTGAATCTAGAGACTTTTAGAAATAATAAAGAATTTGACAAGATTGTTGTTTAGATCAATAAATAAAAATCAACAGTGTTTGTATATACCAATAGCTCATTTAAAAGTGGTATTACAAATAAGTAATAAAACATAACCAAGAAACAAACCCAGACATAAGCCTAATCCAAGGTTCTATATTTCCATAGAAAAAAATTATTGAACATTTATGAAATTCCTAAAAGAAGACCTGAATAATGAGAGAGAGAGGCCCTGTTAATGGATAGAAAGACTCATATATCATGAGAGTGTCTGTTTTTTTTCCAAATTGATCTATAAATTCAATGGGTTCCAGCTAAAATTCTAAGGGGAATTTTTTGTGAAACCTAACTGATCCCCAAATTCAAAGCACCAAAAAAACTGCCAAGGCTTATCATAAAATAATAGTAATTAAGACAGCGTTGTACCAGCTCAGGGATAGACAAAGTGACCAATGGAACTAAACAGAACCAGAAACACATCTGTACACATGTGGTATATTACATTGTTAGCACATTGGATAAGCATGAGGGTTCTAGACTAGAAAGCCTGGGTGAGAATTCTGTGACCTTGGGTAGTGACTTAATTTTTCTGTGCCTCAGTAGTTTTATCTTTGGACATAATTACAATACCTGTTTCATAAGGCTGTTGTGAGGATTAATAGTTTAATATAGGTTAAGCTCCCAGAACATTACACCTAGTAAACCCCGAATAATATAATAATAGTTATCATTATCACTACAAATTGGTGAGGAAAGGTTATTCAGTAAACAGTGCTGGGAAAAGTGGTTAATCATAAAAATAATAAAAGTATATTGCTACTTTACATGGTAGTCTAAATAAATTCCAGTTGGATTAAAAAGCTATATGAGAAGAGCCAAATTTAAAAACTTTGGGGAAAAAAAAGACAGAACCTTAATACAGAAAAGGATTTCTTAGGGGAAAAAAATCCCATAAATTATAAAGCAAAATAATGATGCATTTAACTACATTACAAGTTTCTGCATGACAGAAATTGCCATAATTAAATTAAAAGCTAACATATATAATAAAGCATTACAAACTATTTATATGTAAATAAGTACATATGTGTATAAGCAAAACCAAAATCTCAAAGATAAAATGCAGTCTATAAACACAAGTGACAAAGGCAAAAAAACAACCATGCATTAGCAAATGAGGTGCTACCCCACTAGTAATCTACAACTACAAATACAACAACAATGAGACACCTTTGAGCATCCTGAGAAGGAAGATACCTACCACGAATGGCTCTGGTGGCTAACTGGGCTCAAAATTAAACAAACAAACAAACAAACAAACAAACAAACAAACAAACAAACAAACAAATCAGAGCCTAGCAACTGTTTCTAAACGGTGGCTTTTCATGGAAGCCTTGCTGAGGAAGAAGACTGCACTGAACTGCCTGCTTCCTACACTGAACGGCCTGCCTGCACTGTGTTCCTGCCATCTGGGCCAGCCGTTATAAAAGAGATCCTGGAATTGTATTTCAATCAATAGTACTTAGATTTGTGCAGTTATATCCCTATTAGCATCTACACCAACCAATTAGAGCAGCTCCATTCTGACCAATCAGGACAGTGCTTTTTTGAGCAATCAAGCTGTGAAGATTCGGAGTCCTCATGTGCATGAGGATGAACCAGTCAGGGGCCAGGGGCAGGGACTTCTGTTTATGTAAGTCAGCTCCCCTGTGGCTGGGAGAATGCACTGTATTTTTCCACCTAAGACTGAAGAGTGCTGAGACACTGAAGACAAAGCCAGTTCACTAAGCAATGGAGCAGAGCAGTCTTGCCAGAGAGGGGCCTGGCTCCAGGGCTGCCTTACCCCAGGGCTGTTTCACAGCCGTGTCTGGTGCTGTTTCATAATTGAGCTGTAACACTATTGAGCTGTTTGCACTAAATAAAACTTCCTTCTTCACCCCACCCCAAACTGGGGGTTCTTGTTGATGTCGAATTGCCACCAATGACCATTGGTTGACACCTTCACACCCATCAGAGAGGAAAAA